GCCGCGAGATAATTGAAACGCTCGAACCTGCTCAGACTCCGGCGGGAAGAGAGGCAGAAGCGCGAAGATTACAAGTAGGAGAACTTATGGAAAGTGAGCGAGATAGATATTGGATGGTTGAGAATGACGGTAATACGGATGCAATGAAAGCATTTGTTGCATCTTTAAATGTATCTTTAAATTCATTTTTTCTCAATTTATGACTTATAGTCAGTCTAGACTTGTTAGATAAAATTATTTAATCGGCATGCATAAGTTTCATTATCGTTATTTACTATTGTTTATTTAATCCGGTAATGAAGATAAAATACTAAAAAAATAAGTTTTTTTTCAAAGTAAAATAATAATCGGGCTTATACGAATTGTTAGTTTTCTTTCGTGGTCGTGTAGCTAGTCTCTTTTCTTTTGCGTTGCAAAATTTTGTAGCTTCTGTTACCCGATGGATTGGGATGTGAGACTGTACGATCACGAGGTTCTACAAGGTATAATTTCCGCTTTCCCGTTATTTTTATCCATTAAATCTTCGATCTCTACTTTGACCTCTTGTCGAGTTGCCTGATCGACCTTCTCTTCAATGGTGTCGCTAGTTCCTACTTAAGGTAATTCGTTGGTCGCAATGTCGTGATTTTGTTGTTATTTTTAGTATCTTATGGAAGAGTGTATATTATTTATTTAAAGTTAATAAACTTTTATTTTATTTAAAAGATTCGTTACAAACTGTTAACTTATTTATTAACTTCTATAGCTTCTATTAAACTAATTCTAGCGCTTTTTCTACTCTAAAGTCTTCTCTATTTATAGTTGAATTTCCTCCCACTTTTCTCGTCACGATCCCACTCTTATCGCGACGCCAAGACTAATGATTCATTTTTGTTTTGATTCATTAATCGGCGCGCTATTGGTACACCTTCATATATTTGTGATTTATTGTGTACTCTATATCAGACCATCCTCTCCAACGATGCATCAATTATGGCTTGATGCATCGCTGCATCCGGTTGCATATACTAACTTCTAATTTCGGTGTCCAATATAACGCGGATCAGATGTTTACATATATCACATAATTTGGGATTTTATATCACGTGTAACTACACGGCCCCCTTAATGTAGAAATCTCATAAAAATGCTCGATAAAACGAAAAACGATTAACCTCGAACAAAAAGAGGGCGAGGGTCGATTGTTGATTGTATAATAAATTATATTTGAACGATTTTAACATAAATTATTCACTCGTGCATCATACATATATCATAAAATATCCTTAAAAAATCTTAAAAAATTAATAATAACCAAAAACTTATATTTCAAATTGGGATGCATAACCACCACAACACCACCACAACTCGTTGATTCGTATTAATAGTCAAATCCAATACAAGATAAATGTTATTATAGGTGAGGTTGGCTACCATGAAGATATCTCATGCTAAATGAATACTCAGCATAGGTTGCTTTAAAAAAAGGGTTCTCAAATTTTTTTGTTTAAAAGGTATATTATAAAAACTACAACTATTATTAAGGATCATAATTTTACTTAAGCATAAATTCTCTTTCTAATAAGTATTAAAATATTATTTTGATAACCAAATTTTTTTAATAAATTTATAGTTCTTAATAATTTGAGACAGAATATTTTTATATTAATTATCTATATAATAAAGTTTTTATTGATATTTAACGCGTATATAAGCTCAATCTGTTTAGCCAATTAAATCTGTTAAATTCTAACTCCCAAATTTTTGGCGACTTTACCTGTTGATATCATTACATAATGTAGCACATAATTCATCGCATCATCTTTTTCATCGCAATGTAAATTTTCAGATAAAATAGTAGTAAAATTAGCAATTTTTTTAATCAATATTAGCACTTTTGTGCTAATCGAAAAAACTTGTAATACCTAAACAAAATATACTTAAGGAACGACGTTTAAACATTAAAAATTAATAAATTTTTCTCCAGATATTTAAGGCATTAAAATCCTTCGTAATAGATATTTTGATTGATTGTTGAGCCCTTGATCCAGAAAGGCAACATATTATCAGAAACTGATTGATTTGAATAACTGTATTAAAGAGCTTATAATCTTTTAGCTAGAAAAAACATTATTAAGATTAGTGTAGTTAGCATAAACTAATGATATCTGATGAATGATTTGACAATTGACAAAACCCATGACGATTAAATCTAGAAAAAATCGTTTATTTTATGTGAACAAATTACTATTCATCAACATGCTTCACTAGGATAACCACTGAAAATTCAGGCTAAATTATTCAGTCCAAGCCTCTCCCATTATTATGTTGTGTTCTACTTTCTTTGATATAGCATCTTTAGAAGTAGTATAATAATAGATCATTTTTCACATATATAATTTGAAATTATTGAATGATGATTATTTTAGTCAAAATTGCTATGAAATAATTAGATATGATTTTAATATAACCGGTAATTTAAAATTTATAATTCTTTTACATTAGAATTTCCAAGTTATAAGCTTTCAGAAATATCCTTTTTATAAAATTGGATCACTAGAAATTCTGTAATTCTTATTTGAATGAAATTGATTACTTTTTTTTTTTTTTATAAATTCAACTATATTTTAGAAAGAATTTACATATTAACTTTAATAAAACCTATATGATTAGAATCAGCAAAACTTGCTCTACCTAATGATATATTTATATTTTTAGATTATTTTTATTAACGAATTGTAAATATATTTTACATGATTATTTAATACATGTATTTCTGATCTATCAGAATGTGGCGTTAAAGTGATTTGATCTTGATTTTTATGGTTTTATTTCATTACAAAGTATGGATTTAGGTGTCTTAAGATTTTACTGATTCTCTTATTATTTTTTTAAATTTTCATAAACAATCTAATTTTTCCGCATTCAAATTGTTATTTTGAATTTTCATAAACAACTGATTTTTCAAAATCTGTAAGTTCTGATCTTTTATACATTACTCAAAAATGATTGTTTTGAAAAGCATAAAAAATATATTTCTGAAAATAATAATCAAGATGAATCTTAATAAAAATAATTTGGATGGTTGATTACTAAAATTTCTATAAACATAATGTCTTTAATTAAAGTTTGCAAATAATTGATCAGAGTTTTTACAAATAACTCTAAAATTTATAAATAAAAGAATAAAAAGTCTTTATTTCTAAACCAAGAAAATTAGGCGCACTCAAAAAAGTACATGTTCATTAAAATTGGATGTATGGGTGTGCTTACAATTGGTGTTTAAAGTTTGTTAATTTTTCCAGTTGCCGATCTTATCCGGATACTTGGTGTATAAGTTAAATAAATGTAATTTAGAGCCTAACGCTAATATATGTAGTCGATTCGGTATTAAATTGAAACTATCTGAAACCTCTCAACATGCTATATTTGATGAAAGCTATCATTAAGAAAATTTAGTGACAAATTATTTTTTTAAATTTATACATGTACAACTAGATATGTAGTAAATGTCGCGGATAAAAATGAATTTTTAGACCAATCATATGCGTAGATCATATGGGCAAAATTATCAAACTTATAATTAAATAGCGATAGTGACTTTTTTAGATTGTGATGAATTTATAAAATACATATAATAAAATTAATTTTATTGGCATGATTCTTTTATATTACATATATAGATTATTTGATATTCTATTTTAATCTAATTTCGTTTTAATATATCATAATAAAAAATTTAATTTTCCCACATCAATCAGAAGGAGGTTTATTTGAAAACAAAAAAAACTCTATAAATAGTTCTTTATTAAAAGCTTTCGTAATTAGCGGAATCAATTTTGCCTTTCAGCAGTAGAAAATCCTAAATTAGTCAATCATAAGTTTCGTCAATCATAAGTTTCGTCAATCATCACAGGTTTTGTCTGACGAATGAGTTCATCAGGTATCATTAGCATCAACCACGATTTTCTTTCTTCCCTCTCTTTCCCTCTCTAAATCATGTTAACTGCCTCAAATTTATTTTCTGCAACTTCCGCCAAACCGTCATATTAAGCAATTTCCATAGATATCGGCACAGGAATTAGAATCCAACACGCAAATTAGTCTATTTACAGTGGCTCACAAAAAAATGCAACACGAAAAGTTTTACGAAAAAAATCCTAGTGACTCTAACATTGGTTTGGAATACCTGGTTCCTATACTATTTTAAAGCTAATAACCTAGAGAATATTTTAAAAATCCTAAAAAAAAATATTAATGCTGCCATTCTAAAGAAATTGAGTGATCAACTTGAATATTTTTTAATTAATGAAATTTTAACTTTAAATTGTCTAGTTATCAGAGAGGATTGACCTAATAAAAAATGTGCTTCTTAGGGAGAACTATCTATATACCAATTATTAGCAAAAATGGTACCAAATTCTTTTAGTTATTTGACCAGATGAATCTAGCAGAAAAAATTGTTGGATTATTTTACTAGCATTCATCTGGTACTTCGGGATCAAATAACTCAACGAATTTGATACAATTTAGCTGAAAATTGGTATATAGATAGTTCTCCCTGATAACAAGACATTTAGCGTTAGAGTTAAAATTTCATTAATTAAAAATATTCATGTAGATCACTTAATTTCTTAGAATGGCAGCATTATATAGTTTTAGGATTTTTAAAATAATATAGGAACCAGGTATTCCAAACCGATGTTAGAGTCGCTAGAATTTTTTTCGTAAAACTTTTCTTGCTGCATTTCTTCTGTGTGCCACTGTACTTTCTCACAATCTTTGTAGCCGGAAAAAGATCCCCGAATCCATTTAATCAGATGGCGTTGATGCATTATCTTTGCATATTCCTTTTTATTATTACTAAATTTATCGAGTATCTCATTTTTGTTACATAAAAAAAAATCGTTGTATCTGTACACATACATGTACATTTACGTATACATGGTGTGGATCGAGTCTGTTTTCTTTTCTTTCAGTGTATACTTTATGCAGCATAATAGACAACTACATGTGTATCGTTACTTCGGATTTTTTTCAATTCTTGTTCTCTTTAAATTCTTCATGCAATAGTTCAATTCCCTTTTTAATATTCTTATTATTGCCAAGAGAGATCATCTCTGTTTCTGTGATTAAATGATAAAGTTTTAGAATTTTCTTTCCTTCTAATGCATTTGTCGTACACCGGCTTGACGCACTTAATTTAACACAAAAACCAATAATT